TATTTTTTTGGTTTTTTTTTGTCTGAAGTTGATCGGTAAAATAAAGGTCTGAGTAGTACAAATATGTCTAGTACTTCAGGATTGTGTCACATGATATTTGCGGTTTTTGATTGGTTAGGATGGTTGGGATATATATCTCTCTACAGGAGATGTATCTCTCGTGAGAGATGCCTAAAAGCACCCATTAATTTAAAGTAAAAATTAGTACTAATATAAAGTTAGGTTAAATTGTAGATAAATATTAGTTATATCAAAATTTTGCAAAAATTTTTTTGTTAGAATATAAAAGATAGTTTTATAAGCAAAATTATGAGTTACAAGTAATTTTTTCATAATAATATTATTTTTTTAATTTTATATTATACCTGATCTTATAATTTAATTAGTTAATCCAGTCCGGGAATATACCAAATAAGGAAATCGTATTCTAGAATGATCTACATGCAGTTTTGTGCATTTAATTGGCTTTGGTACCCCTTATCGACGGTAGTACATATTATAAGTTTTTTCAATATTTCACATATTCACAAGTATCAAACGATATATTAATTAGCAGTTTAAAATGTCTACTTTTAATAATTCCATTTAATCCCGCACAATAAGCTATTGTCGAAAAAGTAAATGAAAGCTTAAAAATTGTAAATTTTTTGCGCATTACTAGAAGATCTTGCTAACAAAGAACTATTTTTTTTGTAGTGTCTAACTATTTGAAACCAAAAACGAAAGATCTTAAATGTATATTTGCAGGTTTAGTTGAGACTTATGACAAGATCGGGTTAAAACCCTGTAAAAAGAGTGATCAAAAACAGTGGAATGCGAATGCTCCAAAAGCAGCTAAGCGACTGGAACTTTTTTATACTTACATGTCTGAACTTGCTAATCTTTCTTTGGATTCTTATTTGCTTTATAAGATGATGTGGGCGAAGTCAAAAAGGGTAAATATAAACGTTCAAATACTATCAAAAATTTACTAAGATGGAACATTCTGGTAGAAAATTCATTCTTAATAATCGCTATAGAAATGGAATTGGAAGTAATAAAAATAAGGATGAATCGTAGGATAGGTAATGCTAAGGGAATAAATTATATTACTATTATTTTTTTAAGATGTAACTTTTAAATATTTTAGATTAAAAAACTAACCTGTTAATACGATTACTGAATTACAGAATTTGTCTTTATTCTTGGTTGCACAAATTCTGTATCTGTAACAAATAGTGGTTTTGAAGCGGAATTGGCGTTTAAAAGGATGAGAGTAATTAATCGTCTGGGTATTGGTACCCTTTTTTTTTAAGTCAATTTTTCTTTTTTTTTTTGAAATTCATTTATTTTTTTATTTATTTAATTCTGTAATTAATTTAAATAAATTATATTACAATAATACAGTAATAATGCTGTATTAAAAGTTATGTCGGTTATGACATCTTAAAAATTAATATTACTTGAGTTTTATTTAATTTGAAGTGATTTCAATAATTAAACTAAATTTACTGCTATAAATTGAATAATAATCACTATCAATATCAAATGCTTTATTCTTTATCACTATTTTATTATCGGATTTAAAAATTCAGTTGATAGTTCTATAGTTATTTTCCTAATTTAAATAGTTCATGAATTTCTGAAGCTGTTGGTTGTTTTTGGATCTTTATTCCAACACTTATTTAAAAGTTCAGTATAACATGGCCTTTAATTCATAGAAAATATAGCAGATCTAAAAGAAATTTTTTTACATGATATTACAAAAGAATAAATATATAAGTTCTGAAGTTTTTGCATATAACTTCAGAAGCCATATATAGTAAAGCTCATAAACTCTTATAAATTCCGAATCTAATGTTTTATTACAGTATTAATCATGGTTGCAAACTCTAAATCATCAATATAAATGTCATATATTATTTTGAGATTATGCGAATAAATAAGATGTAAGATTATATTTTTTAGTTTCTAAATAATTTTTGAATTTTCTTGGATTAATAAAAATATTATTTAACTTCTTGATTTTATTGGCCAACTAACGTAGCACATAGAATAATCTGGAAGGAAAGTCTAGAATAGTCCGATAGATGATCCTTACTAAATAAGGTATGATCATCAATGACCAAATTTGGTATATTCCCGGACTGTAATCAGATAGATGTATTATCCTTTAAACTGTAAAGTTAGGGTTATTAGCTAGGATTAGGAAATATAAATTATTATAACTAAAATTTTGCAAAAAATTTTTTTTATTAAGATACAAAAGGTGGTTTCATAAGCAAAATTTTGAGTTATTAAAGATTTTTTAAAAAATTAAAGGATTGTTTTGATTTTTATATTATACCTGATCTTAACATTACACTACAAATCAATAATTTTATTGGTTAAAATTACTATGATGTTGAATACTATTGATGCATTTTAGTAAACTTGATAATATATATACATTAAATTATATAAACTTAAATAATATATATAACAAATTTAAATTTGTTATTTATATTATTTATAAATAGAATATTGCTAACTATAACTGGTAGTAATAATCACTATAACATGTGATGGTATAAAATCATAAAATTATGCATGTTTGTAAAACAAGCATATACTTATTTAAGATTCCTTAAAGCAGGGCAGATTGCATAATAATCAGTCAATCAGATCATCAAAATTTGGTAAACCCGGATCACTCTAAGAGATATGACAAAAATTAGGTGATTTTTTAGGGTAGGAGAGGTAAAAAAAGTTAAAATTATATATAAGAACCTAATTTTTTTTATATTAAGAGGAGGGAGGGGGTAAGCCTTTAATAAAAAATAATTAGATGATAAATAACACTGCTCTAATGAAGCAAAACAAGCAAAAAAAGAGAAAAAAGTAAAAAATACAAAAATGATAGTCCAAACCCATTATGAAGTATTAACAAAAAATGTTGGCGAGGTAGCGATTAGGGTAATGACAGATATTATGTAATATTTTTTTACTATATCCTTTACCTCCCTCCCCCACGTAAGAGAAATTTGATTGGCTATTATAAATTTATATATCAACATAAGATATCAAAGACTCTCCCCCTCAGAATATTACATAATATCTGTTACTACCCTTAATAAATAAAATTTAATTTACAGATTTTCTCTATACGTCACTTATATATAAAGTTTTGAAAACAACATGAGATATATACATATATATGTATATATGCATATATACTTATGCTAATATTAACCTTAAATTGCTAATTTCATATATAGATAATTCTATTTTGTAAATCTGCAAAAAGAATTAGATAATATTATATATAATGCCAATCTAAATTATGCAAATACTTAATCAATAAAGCATATATATACACACATATATTATTTAATCATAATATATTCTAGGCTTCTAAACATGCTATAAGTAAGAATAAAGCTATAACTCAACTAGACTGAAATGTAATAATTATACTAAATATAACCCTAACCTCAGCTTTGTATCTTTGAGTCAACTTTCTACTTCCAATTACATTAAATATTATATATTTAATACTAATACAGGTTCTTATCAACTTGATACTTAATTTAGTACTATATACAATTAATTATAAGCTATATATATTCGTAAGAACAAAACTAAAATTGATTTGAAATCTATTACCCAAAATTTAACCATATCTCTAATTCTAATGATTCCAAATTAATATAAATTTTATTTCTATTTACAATATATACTAATCAAATAAATTTAACAATTAATTATCAATATGGTATTTATATAATATTATTGTCTTTTATACTATAATTTTTAATACTAATGCTGTTCTATATTAATAAGTAGTATTAGTTAAAATATATAGTAATATAAAATTTAATCTATTGTTTAAAAGCTATTTTTGTATATAATATATAAACATTACTATATTAAAATTAATTCACCTTAGTTTTTATAAAATTTACAACTGCAAGACAACAAAACCAATTCTAATTTACTTTTGAAATTTACATTTTCAAATATTATATCCAGATTCGCCACATGTATATTTATACTTAACTATATTTTCATCTGTAATGAATGATTTATCAGACACATTATCGTTATCTTTGTCAATATTGTCAAAATCAGTTTTTTCTTGAATATAAATATCATTGTTATTAATTGATGATTCATGAGTCAACTAGACAAACTATATAGTAAAACATAACTCAAATTACTATATAAATTACATATGTCTTAAATGCCATGATCGTTCAAGAAAAACTTTTTTTCTTATTAAGCTAATCGATTTTCTATATTAAGAGAAAGTTGTAGAGCTCATTAAGACGCATCTAATGGTAGTTGGATCGTCCAAATCGGCCTAGTGGATCTCGAAATATCATTAAAAATGTGTTAACGACTATGTAAAATTTCAAAAATTTTTATAAAAACTTTCTATAGAAATTTTTAAAATTTTATATAGTCGTTAACATGTTTTTTAATGATATCTCGAGATCCACTAGGCCGATTTAGACGATCTAACCACTATTAGATGCATCTTAATGAGCTCTACAACTTTCTCTTAATACAGAAGATCGATTAGCTTAATAAGAAAAAAGTTTTTCTTGGACGATCGTGGTATTTGAAACATATATAATTTATATAGTAATTTGGGTCATGTTTTATTATATAGTTTGTCTAGTTGACTCACAGATCATTAATTAAGAGTACAAAGAGGATTTCTAAATACATATTGTTATTGTATCAGTTGTATAAATGCATTTGTATCTTCATTTGTATTGGAATCAAAGTTATTTTGGTAAACTTTTTTTTTTGACACTGATTTTGGTAAATATTCACATTATTTCTGGAAAAAAAAGGCCAGAATCATGAGTATTATTAGAAATACTTCATTTTCTTTATAGTCATTTTATCTACAAGCCATTTAATCTAGTGTTTGTAGTCGATCCAAATTTATCGACTAGACTAAGTTGATATTTAAAAATCAGCTTAGTTGCCTAAGCTGTAGTTGATCATCCTGATTGGTTAATTAAAAGCACGTGATTTAAAATAGATATGATTGGTATGTATATATTAGTATTTGCAGTCGATCATTATTTATCACTTGACTAATCATCTTTGTTTAATTTTGTCTTATATTTTATATTCATTAAATTTTTTTTTTAGAATTTTTGAGAAAGGATAATATAAACTACCAAATTGGTCTAAATTTGATTGGTTACTGTAATTTTTAATATAGCCTAACATAAGGTTGCTGGCTGTAAGTAATAATTACAGACATTACGAATTACAACCCGGGTTGCAACTTTAATTATAATTGATACTTAAAATTGTAATATATCATATTGCTGTAAAATTTCGTAATAGTTGAAAATATCATTATGGTTGTAAGTATCATAATAAGTTGTAAGTGTTGTAATAGATTATAAGTGCTATAACTAATATAAACCTTTGCAACAATCCTGTTTTATTGATAATCTAACTATTCTGACTTTAATAAAATCTAAACTGATTATAAACAAATAAATAAATACAATGTAATCAAAAAGCACAGTTTTTTTTTGTTTAAAATAAATACTATTAAATTGTCTTATTAGTTATTGAATGATTTAAAATATTAAATTTAGTTTATTATCAATGAATACAGTTATATTGCTTCTTGTTTGCTTATCTCTAACAAAATATAGTTTAATTTGCTTAGTGTAATGTAAAGTCTTATACTTATACTATATGTATATATTTGAACTTGTTTAATACTTTAGATGTGGGACATATTATTTAGATTATTATTGGTTTTTTTAAAGAGGGTATCTAAAAGATTTTAGCAATGATTCTCAGAATTCTAAGGAAATTAGAAGTATCTTTAATATTATTTAATAAGATACCAATATGTTATTTAATAAGATATATATGTTAGTTGTGTTGATCAAACCAAAATTTCTAATATAATTGAAAAACTCTTAATATATAAGAATTAAGAATAACTTTATTTTGTAGCCTGATAATTCAAGAATTTTGTATAATGAGAACAAATTAAAACTTGTAATATTTTTAAATAACTGAATTAAAAATATTATGTTATATACTCCATGATAGAGTATTCAAACTTATGTAATTTTGGAAATTTGTTATTGTCTAAACAATAAAAAATTTCTAAAAACACATAAGTTTGGACATGTTAACCATGGAACTTGCAAAGATTAAATTTTTATATATCTTGATAATTTAAGAATTTTGCATAATAAGAACGAATTAAAATTTGTAATATTTTTAAATAACTAGATTAAAAATATTATATTATAAGTTCTATGGTAGAGCATCCAAATTTATACAATTTTGGGAATTTGTTATTGTCAAATTTCTGAAATTATATAAGTTTGGACATATTAACCATGAAACTTGCAAAGATTAAATTTTTATAGATCTTGATAAACCTAATTTAATGTTGTTATCAATGCTAGCTTGCATAAAATAATATACAAGATTTATATTACTTTTTAAAATAGAATCAGAATATATTCTTTTATATAAATTAAATATAAGCTTATATATTTTAAAAAAAAGTAAAAGGTAGCATAATATAAATATCTTTTATTAAAGTTCAATTAATTCTTAAACTTGTGTATACAGAAATATTATATATTTATAATTTATATATTTAACTTGTATAAGCTTAAACTAATAGCAAAGCTAGTTATTATACCAGACTAGTTAGCTTTCTAATTTATCATCGTAGAATAATATTGTAAATATATAAATATATAATTAAATAAAATTTTAATAAAAAATCTTGTAACACTACTAATTTTGCTATAATGATAAATCTTATAAATTTATTGAAAATTTTTTAAATTGATTAAATGACTAAAACCAAATGAAAACAAAATCAAAATAACAATTCAAGTGATACTGATACTGAAACAGAGTCTAGAAATTCTAATAATTCAAAATTAGAATGTTTATAAACAGATGTTTAAAATTTTTTTAATAGAAATCAGCCTAAAGATGATAGTTATTAGAAAGGAACTTGTTCATTCTGTGATCACTTTTATCCACGTACCAAACTACAAACCTTGCAAGCACATTTTGCTAATAGTTGTAAAAAAGTTTTTGAAGAGTGGTGATGCCATTTTAATTATATTATAGTTAATAATTTAGATGATATTTCAACTAACAAACCTGTATCAAATGCTATTTTATCTTTAGTTAAATAAAAAAAAATAACCAAACAATCTGAATTAACTAATTAGTATGATTTTACAAAAATTGAAACACCTATGCAATTATTAATTGATGAAGCTATTACATTAGCTTTTGTTATATGCAGTATTCCTTTTTGTATTATTAACAAGCCTTTTTTTATAAATGCTTTAAAGCTTCTAAATCCTGATTATAGTATTCCATCACATGAGGTTCTTTCAGAATACTTATTAGATTTAGAAGTTGCAAAAGTTATTCACAAAGTTGATAAAATTTTAGAATATACAAGCAATCTTACTATTGGTCTGGATAGTTGGACTGCTTCTAATAAGCTATCAATTTGGAATTTTGTTATTATGACACCATTATGACAAGAATATCTCTATAAACTTGGAAATTATTCTGATCAATCTTATATGGCAAAATTTCTGGTCAGCCAAATTGAATTAATTATAAATTGTATTGGTAAAGATAAAATTTCAGCAATAATTAGTAACAATGGAGCTAATGTAGTATCTGCATGTGGTATAATTTGCTCAAAATATAAAAATATTATAAATATTTGTTGCATTGCTTATTGTTTTAATCTGATTAGTAAAGATATTATTAAGCATATATTTGCAGAAAGAATGATTCAATGTGCTAATAAAATAGTAACTTTTTTTAAAAAATCTCATAAAGCTGGAGCTATATTAAAAGAAAAAATTATACAATACCAAATTAGTGGCAGTAGTCTTAAAACTTACGTAAAAACAAGATAGACAACTATGTATAAATATGTTTCCTTAATTGTGTAACTTAAAATTTGTTTAGAAAAAATTCAAAAAAATCACTCTGAAATTATTAGTTCTGTTGTTTTAACAATACTTCATAGTTGAGGCTTTTTTACTAATCTCAATATCTTTTGGATGGTTTATTTCTAATTAAAGAACCAATTTTGGCAGTTGAAACAAATCGTTCTACTCTTGCTAACTGTTATATTAATTTAGTAAAAATTGCTACAGCAATTCAAAATCTTCTTACTAATAAATATAAAGGATTTTGTAATAAATATATTAAAAAATTTAATAAGCAATTTGAAGAATTTAATGATCCTATCTATCAACTTATATATTTTCTTCATCTGGTATATAAAGGTATTAGATTAAAGTTTGGTATATTTCTTCTTATTGCAAATTATATTGGAAAATTATAGCAAAAAATAGGTAAATCAAAGAAAGTTGTGAAATTTTAATAACACAATTACAAATTTATAAAGAGCAAAAAGTAGATATAAATGAAAATCTAAATCCTTATACTGCCCCTATATGATTGATAATGATATATCATTAATGTGGTGAAATACATGTGAAGCTACGTCTAACTATTTACAATGCTTGGCAATTAAACTTTTTTCTATTATACCAAGCTTAGCACTTTGTGAACAGATATTTTCAGCATTAGAATAGATTTATGAAAAGTATCAAACTAGATTAAATATAGATTGGTTAGAAGAATTAGCAAAAATTTACCAGTTTAATTTATCAAACCCTATAGAACAACTTTGCCACACTCAAACTGCAGATATAATTCCTAAAATAATATCAAGCATTGCTGAAACTGTTTTTAAAGAATTTGAAAAAGAAACATTAATTGATAATAATAATATCAAAATGCTTAATTCTGCTGAAGACCTTTATCCAAATGAACAAGATTTAGATTTAAGTATTTTAACTTCTATTGATTTTAAATCTTTAGTTTTTACGTCTTCTAATAGTTATGAAAATGAAAATTTTAATGAAATTGAATCTGATAATAATATACAACAAGATGAGTATGATGTAGATAAAATTGTTATAGCACAATTCACATTAAATACAATATAAAAAAAAAAGAAAATTGATAGTTCTTTTATAAATTAAAATATAGTATATCAATTAGTGAATTATAGTGATAGTTAAAATTCTTTTTTCGATCTTGTAAAAAAAAAGCTTATTTTACCTCTTACTTTAAACTGATATATACTATACATTTCTTTTTATCTTATTTTTGCTTTACTATTATGCTATATAAAATATTCATATTATAAATATCCAAATTATAAATTATCATTTAAAATCAATATCATTTATATATATACGTATTAGGTACTATATACATATATAATTTATATATATCAAACAAGAAATTGATTCATAATATACATGTTGCTTTTAAAGTAGCTATCTTTCTAAAGTAGCTACATACGTATGTACGAATGTATATATTTAAAGTAGCATCTAACGAAGCCCTTGAAGTTAAATCTTTATGCATATATTAAATCGTAATTTTAGCTAAGCACTACTTTAGATAGATACGTATATACCATCAGCAAAATTTTTAAGCAGATATATATCGATATATAGCAGTTAATCGATATATATCGATTAAAAATTATCG